GTGGCAATATTTCTTTTTACTCAGTTAAAAAAACAAAAGAGTGTAGGGTTGGGGTTGGGATGGCTCAAGTGGTAGAGGTCTTGCCAAACATGCCATGGGTTTAATCCCCAGGGTTGGGGGCGAGAGAAGTTTTAAAAGTCTTTGACAATTTGTTAGAAGAAGAAGAAGAAAAAAAAGAACAGAGAAGAAAGTTAAGAAAGTAATATAAGCAAAGTGAATTTGATCAAAGTACTTTATGTGCAGGCATGTAAATACCAAAGTAAAATCCCTTTGGTCAATTAATTGATGCCAATAAATTTTCAAGTCCATCACACATGTTCATATTGTCTTTGAAAGAGTCATGATAAAACCATATAAAAAACTATGTTCCAATCGAATAAGCAAAGCATAGTAAGGAGCCTAGACTTCCATTCTTGCTACATGGTTGGAGAGACTCCCAGCAATGGTGGACTTCCACCTTCACCTAGCAGTAGTAAGAGAAAACTTACCCCTCCTTACTAAGGTAGTATAAGACCACTAGAAGAAATTCAGGACTTTCACTACCACCTAGTGGTGATGAGGTCAAAACATTGCTACAATACCAGTAGAGATGATATAAGCAGCAATAGGATTCCCATACCTCTCAGTTTAGGTATACAGGCAGCCTGTTAAGGAGCAGGAACTTTCATACCTGCCTAGCAAAGATGAAAACCCCACCCTCAGCCTAAGGTATTAGTGAATGCCAAGTGAGAAACATGGACTTACATGTCTATTGGGCAGTAATGAAGCAGTACCTCAAATCTGCCTGACATAACTGTGTCTAAGAAACCAAATAAAAACAGTGAAAACAAAAGGTTCAGGTAAGATCTAGACTCTCAGGCTTGGGGCATGGCTAAAGTGTTTGCCATAGCAAGTATCAGCCCATGAATACAAACTCTAGTACTGCCAAAAATAGTAAAAACAAAAAACCCCAAACTCAAAAAAGAGTCTCAAAACCAGTCCACTGCATACAACTAGTTCTAGCCTAGCTGAGCCGCTCATCGGGATCTGGTGCCCTGTGACAAAGTATACTTACCTAACCTCACTGGGCAAAGACTGTCAACTGTCCTGCTTTCAGTGTGACAAATGTGGAAAGACACTGACCTCCCAGAGCCACGCGGTGCAAGAAGGCAAGCCCTACTGCAACCATCCAAGCTACTCTGCCATGTTTGGGTCCAAAGGCTTTGGATGGGGTGGAGCTGAGAGTCACACTTGCTAGCAGACCTAGATTGTGGAAATCCTATCCGCCGCTACCTGCCTGTCCAGAGAAGATACCAGGCCTTAACTTCCAGATACCCCTAGTTCCTGATAGCCTCTGATGACTTCAGTAATACTACAGAATGTTTTCAAAGTCTTAAAACACAATAAAAACTTATCTAGATGTGTGAATAGCAAGTCATTACCAGAAAAATTTCAAAGGACAAAAAGACCAGTAAATGTCACATAAAAATAAAAGGGAAGAAAGAATTTTCTAATAACAATTTACCGTCATAAAATGCTTCAATGCCAGTGGCTCATGTCTATAATCCCAACTATTCAGGAGGCTGAGATCTGAAGATCATGGTTTGAAGCCAGCCTAAGCAGACAAAACCCTTAAATCTTCAATTAACCAGCAAAAGTCTGGAATAGCAGGTATGGCTCAAGTGGTAGAGTGTCAGTCAAGGTGGAAAAAATTGAAGCAAGAACATGAGGCCTGAAGTTCAAGCCTTAGTTAGTACTTGTACTAAATAAATAAATAAATAAAAAGTTAAAAAGGTGTAGAAGTGTTCAAAGGGGTGACGTTGACCAAGATGCATAGTATTCATAAAATGCTTTCTTGAATGCTCTTTTGTACAACTAAAGCTAAAACATAAATAAGATTTAAAAATAAAAATAAATAAATGAACCTTCAATGAATAGTTATAAATATGCCTGAAACATATGAAAAAAAGTTTCAGCAAAAAAGTACATACACAAGTAGCTCAAGTAAAAACACCAATGAACAAGTCAATAACAGAATGTAGAAGACAGTGAAAATATCAGTGAATTTAAAAACTGAATACTATAAATTGTCCAATATAAACAGAAGAAAAAAAAATACCTTGTGGGAAAAAGCAACCAAACCAAACTAAAGGAAAATTGTTTAAAAAGGAAAAAATAATCGGAAACAAATATTGCTGAAGGGATCACTAAGGACTAAAATTAACCATTAGGAATTGGCAGTATGAAGACAACCTTAACAGAAAAGTTTCAAAGGCTAGAGATTAGATTGACAGATAAGAGATCAGACTTTAGTAGACTGAGGGAAATAAAAATGAATACAGCCAACTTCTCCAGTAGGAGGCAGAAGAATGAGAAAGTAAATGAAGGGACACATGGATTCCAGGTATCAAGATTTGCTACTTACTTCTAAGATGGGCTGTCTTCAATAAATGTATAAGCTAACTGGTCACTGGTCAAGAACAAAAAAACAAAAAACCCAAACCACAAACTTGATGCAAGAAGTAGAGGATCAAATCAGGATTGAAGCCTTTAACTATATCAGAGATGGATCTAATATTCAAGTTGATGAGTGGGTCCTTAAGATAAAAAACAATGACACTTCATTTGTTAAAACATAAGGCACATGGGGCTGAGAAGGTGGCTCAGTGGTAGACCACTTGTCTTGCATGCATAAGTCACTGGGTTCAATTCCTCAGCACCACATAAGCAGAAAAAAAAAAGCCAGAAGTGGCGCTGTGGCTCAAGTGGTAGAGCGCTAGCCTTGAGCTGAAGAGCTGAGGGACAGCGCCCAGGCCCAGAGTTCAGGCCCCACGACCGGACCCAAAAAAACCCAAAAAACCAAAACCAAAAACAACAACATAAGGCACAGAACATGAAATTACAAATCATAATTCATTTTCCTCAACAGAAATATACACATATATAGGGGTGTGTGTGTGTGTGTGTGTGTGTGTGTGTGTGTGTGCGGTGTGTATACTTTAACTTCATGTTTGTCCATAAGTTAAATACCATAAAATATTGGTAGGCATTAGGCATGTCTCTGTCTCAAATCATGTATATTATTACTCTTTTATACTCAGAGTATCACAAGCCAGGATACTGTAAAGACACTGGCACATCCACAATAACTTGCACTATTCACAATAGTCAAGTTGTGGAAACAGCCCAAATGCCCGAAAATAGATGAATGGATCAAAAAAAATGTGGTATCTATACACGATGGAATTTTACACAGTGATTAAAAAGAATAATCATTATGTCACATGCAGAGAAATAGATGGTCATAGAACAAGTCATATTAGGTGAGGTAAGCCAAGCTCAGAGAGACAGATCATACATGTTTTCTCTCATATGTGGAAGCTAGAACTAAAATACAGAGGGACATGATAAATTATAAAGAACTCTAGGCATTAATACACAATGAGACCAAGGAGGATACCTTAGGAGAGGAACACAAAGGCGCAATGCCTATCTCATCATATAACATAATATTTATCGGAATAACCTCCAGGAAATGTTGAAAATTTTTTCCTCATTGTGTTTTTGTTTTCTTTTCTTTCTGTCTTGTTTATACATTTATCTGTCTTTGGGAGGGTAAGGGGGAACAAGAACTGGAGGGACAAATGTAGGTGAACAATTGCAGGTGAACAAATGCAGCAGTGGTATTCACTAGAGACTATGTTGAAAATGAACACACAACTTGTAGGTGGAGATAGGAGGAGAAAACTGGGAGAGAGTGAGGGAAGGAGTGATATCATCCAGAAAGAAATGTACCCATTACCTGACTTATAACTGTAATCCATCTGTACACCATTATCACAACAACTATGAAAGAATTTTCAAAAAAGAAGGAACTAGAGATTTAGGGAGACAGAGGATAATTGTATTAGTATTATTATTTATGGTCACTTGGATAAGGTACCTAAATAGCTTTTGGGATTGTAGCTAATACCCAATTGTCTTTACTTTTGCTCTTATGTGGACTGGAATTAGCCATCCCTTTCCTATCCTTGTGAGATCAACTCTATTCTATATTTACTGTGACTATTCATAGGAATTAAATAGTCTGGTATGGTCACAATAACAATATACAAATGGCCAAAATTTTTATGTGAAAAAATTTGCCAACATTATTTGTAATCAAACTATTTCATACCTTGTTTCCACACTGTTTCACCCTTACGTATAATTATTATGTATTAAATTTTCTTAGAAGAGTGAAAGTCAAATTCTATCAAGTCAAAGGAATAGAATTGAAATTCTTCAAAGAACGTCTCTGCACTGAACCTCAATCTTTACTATATATTTGTCATAAGACACTTTCTGCTCCTCTGTATTAGCACAAGCAGTCCCTCATGTTTTACAACATCATTTCTTTCTTTTTTTTTTCTGTTTGTCATGGGGCTTGAATTCTGGGCTTGGGTGCTGTCCCTGTGCTCTTCAGCTCAAGGCGAGCACTCTACCGCTTGAGCCACAACACCACTTCCAGTTTTCTAGTGGTTTTTATTGGAGATAAGAGTCTCACGGACTTTCCTGCCTGGGCTGGCTTTGAACCGCAATCCTCAGATCTCAGCCTCCTGAGTAGCTAGGATTACAGGTGTGAGCCACTGGCGCCCATCTACGACATCATTTCTTACAGTATCAATCCTATAATTATAATGCCTTTCTTCCTTCACTTTCAAATCAGTATTTAAAAAAACAATTCTTATGGCTGGGTATGTGGCTATACCAGGACCTGGTTTCAGTCCCAAGCACCACCAATCAACCAACCAAACAAAATAAATGGATCTAAGCTATCCAATCATAACGTGCTGTGAATTTATGATCTTGAAAATATACATTTCAGTACTGTAACATATTAGAATTTATTTGAATTTTACTTTACTTATATCAATAAAAGCTAACAGTGATTTTTATTAATTTGATTAAAGCACAAGGAGGAAAAGGAGCAATTATGAATACATGGTTAATTTAGTTAAAAAAAAAAAAAAAAGCCCTACCTTAGGTGAAGCAGAGAGATCTCTTCCTGCAGAAGCAAGCATGTTCTCATTTACCCCTCCTGTTTTTGGTGAAAGGACTGGTGGAGCCGGTGCCTTTCTTTTCACTCTCTTTTCAGTTTCCACTTCTTGAACCGTATTTGCCAAGTTATTTGGAGAAGTTGGTTTAGGTTCATAAAAAGGATTTGATCTAAATGCAAGAATAATTATTGTTAAGTGCCTTTTAAAAATAGTTTTTCAGTTAAAATAATAAAACATGTCCTGAAAATTACATTTTCCCCCAAATAAGTCCAAATGACTAAAGCTTAGCCCATTTCTAGCCATATTTAAACAAAATATCCCTTTATAAAATATTTAAAATAATTTAAAATATACAGTTATGCTCAACTTGAACAATCATATACAGAGCTTTACAAAAATGTAATGTTAAAAAATGGTAAGGGTAAGCAAATTCAGTCACTGTATTAAATGTACACTATGTAAAAAATGAACTATGTAACTTGTGGATAGAGGCAGAAAGGGGGAAATGAGGGATGAACGAAGGAAGCAGTGTCACCGTTCAACAAGTATTATACTCATAACCTGACTTGTGCAGCTATAACCCCTTTGTACACCTACTTAATAATAACAATTTTGTTTTAAAAAGGCAACCCTATCTATTCCCTATCCCTATAGGAAAACAAGAAAGATGTGTAAATATCAATTTACTGAAATTTTCATGCTCCATTTCATTTTAAAATATCATTATTTCAGTCTTACACCTAAATGACGATGTAGCTAGTTAGAAAATTCTAGTTGTAAGTTAAATTATTTCAGTGCCTTGACAATATTAACCCATGGCCAACCTCATGTTGTTCTACTTAAGTTATCTTTTATTTGCAGTCACTGTTAATGATCTCTTTATTTCTGGTTTGGGGCAATTTTACTAAGATGTGTCTAAACAAACTTCTAGTTTGTCCTATTTTCAAGCTTCTTATATTTCATGAGTTAGAAGATTTATATATTTTCTCACTTGTGATAAATTATGAGACTATTTCTCTAAATAATAAAAAGGAGTTATATAATTACTGATTAATACATTTAAAACACATGCATGATACAATGATAGTTTTAGTCATCAACTGACTGTATGTAAATAATGTGGCAGTCTCAAAAGATATATGAGTGCTGCTGAAGCTATCTTGGCTTGTCTAAGAATATGCTTGGTGGTTCATATGACATACTTAGCTAAAAAAGCAATGCATTAAACACATGAATAAACACAACTGTTTACTTAAATGGTACTTGATACTGGAAAAATTACTTAAGGAATTACCAATTTCTGTGTTCTGCTGATCATCTATAATATGAATAATCTGTTTCAGGACTCTGAATATTGGAAAATATTTAAATTCTCACAATAATTTTTTTCTTCATACTATATACTTTAGTAATATATTAGTTACATGATTAACTTACTGAAAATAGAAAAGTCAGGACATTCATATTACTTATGGTTTGAAATTTTATCTAGGAAAACAAATTATAGAAAAATAAACTGAAAATAGGTTGTGAACAGGATTAATTAAAACATAACTGAAAAAATATACAATGTGAAACTACTACATAGTGAAATCTAGTCATTTCCTTGCATTTTCAAAGCCTATGCTTCATTAGAAAAACAATTCAAACGCATTAAAGTGAACATGCAGCTTCTCTGAATAAAAATGATATGACAGGCTTCCTTGAGAAACAGACACACAGTGATACCACTAACAGTTGCATGTGAGCTCTCAAAAGTCACTTGATAAATGTTCCACTATTACTGCATACAGAGGACCCAATACCATTTATTTGTAACAACTTTATGTCAAAGAATGTAGAAAGAACATAGTATTGGAAGATGATTCATAGAAGTTTTCATGTGATAACTGGTCATAAGTTTATTATTCAAGTAAGAATAAATTTTGGAAAATTTCTGCTATTCTAGTTAACTTTCAGAGAGAAAAGATGAGCAATACCAAGGAAGTAATTAACAAACCAAGTTCTTCCTAGACTAGCACATTAGTTGATATAAAATCTTTAGAATTCCTATAAATATTCCTACCAAAAAAAGCTGAATTGTTATAGGCTCTCTCTGGTAAGTCCAGATGATTGAGCAACTTAGAATGTTTTTATTCATGGGAACCTTGCTAAAGACTTTGACTTTCATATGAAAAAGGAATGGTCAAAAAGGAAACACCCAGTGATTCTGATTTTAGTTTTCATTAAGGCCATTTTAAAAGTTTAAGCAAACATTAGCTGTCTTTTTAATTTGTTAATTCAAGAAGGCAGGGTGTGTAGTTATTGTGTAACTGAAATGACTGAGTGTTTGTACTTATAAAGTTTGCATTTGCACTCAAATACTCTAGGTGTGTGGCTATTACTCAGCACCTACACCACCCATGAGGAATTTTATTTTGATCACACATAGGTATTTCAAAGAAAACAAACACAAAAACTTTAGTAGGAGTTGAGTCAATTTTTCAACTATATAGTTTAAATTAGTACTGAGAACTCAACCTTTGTTTGGAATCAGACACTCTAAGTAAATATGAAAGTTAGAACATCTTAAGCTTTTATCAAAAAGCCATACTGTGGGAATATATACCACATGCAAGAGCCATTATATATACATATATGTTATGTTTAAACACACGATTCTAGGACAAAAATAAATCAACTCTGTCATTCTTTCCAAGACTCAGAATATTTTAAGTTTGTATAGTTCCATTAAATCATCTGCTTAGGTCAAAGAGACCCTATGCTCTCACTCATTGCTCACTTGAGTAGTTTCTATAGACACTTTAATGACTTGCTCAACTTGCTCACCTCTAAGTCATCAATGCCTCTTACAAAGTACAGCTCCTAAAAGTAAAATAGTTCTTAAAACAGGAGCTAAAAAATCTATAGTAGATTACATTTCTCCCTTTATACAAATCAATTACTCAACTTTTATTCATCAAAGGGGCTTTTTTCTTTCAATCCACATATATCATATTTTGAAAAATATTCCTATTGTTAAAGAGTATTTTCCCAATATTTAAATATTGGGAAAGTTCATATATTTCCAAGGAAAGCAAAGATCCACTGCAAGTAAACCTATCATTTATATTCTTTATTATTAAATATTTTATAGCTATCACTTGTCCTATATCCATTATTTAAATCAAAGAGATTCAGAGGCCCAAGAATTTCTAGTATGGATTATTATTGCTATTATCATTATTATTATTCAGGTGACACGACATTGTTGTTAATACAATTTAAGAATGCTTTTCTTGTTTGTTTAATATATATTTTATAAAATATATATTTTTATAAAATACTGTACAGAGGGGTTACAGTTATATGAGTAGGGCAATGAGTACATTTCCTATGGAGCATTGTTACCTCCTCCTGTTTTTCTTATTAAAACCATTTTAGTTAGCTATTGATACTTAATAATAAAATGGTCCAGCCTTATGTATAATTTGGTGAGTTTTTTTCCCTCATATATACGATTGTGAAACCCAAATACCACAATCAAGATAAAAATATTTCCATTCCCCCAAAAGTTCCCTTTGAAAAACATCCCTTTTAAGTCTCTCCCTTTTAGTTCTGATCAATAGGCAACCACTTCCCTGCTTTCTCTTGTTTGAATACCCTAAAATTTCCAATAAATAGTACAATACAGCATGTACTTTTTTTTTCTGGTTTGGCTTCTTTCAACAGCACAATGATTTTCAAAATAATACATGAAGTAAGAAATAGTTTGTCTTCTTGGTTACTACATAGTATTCCATTGTATGGATATACTGCAATTTACTTATTCATTTCCATACTAAAAAGCATTTGACTTTCTCCAGTTTTATTATAAAAGTCTTACATTTTCTTTCACTTTTTTGAGTGAATATCTAGGAATAGATATTGAAATAATTTAAAACTTAAGCATGATTTTATTATGTTTTTGTTGTGTTGTGTTGTTTATTTTGATTTTATTATAAGTTGTTGTTGTTTTATTTTGAGAGGGTTCTCACTATAGAGCCTAGACTGACCTCAAACTTGCAGTGCTCCTGCCTCCAATACCCTTAACTGATGACTAATGAAGGTGAACGGTTTTACATTTGTTGCCATTTTCTTTTGTGAAATGTCTGTTCAAGTATTTCCCTCCTTTGTTACTAGGTTAAAAACTTTCACTTAAGTCACAACACCACTTCCAGCTTTTTCTGCTTATGTGGTGCTGAGGAACTGAACCCAGGGCCTCATGCATGCAAGGCAAGCACTCTACCACTAAGCCGCCTTCCCAGCCCCTTAATAAGGGTTTTATAAAGAAAGAAGAACTTAATTTTTAAGTCCAAATTAAAGTATTTTTTCACTCTGATTTGTTGTGCATTTTGCATTCTATTTAAAAAAATTTTTTTAATCTGTAGGCCAATGGCTATAATCCTAGGTAAGGAGGCTTAGCTCTGAAGATCACAGTTTGAAGCCAGCCCAGGGAAGAAAGAGTCCATGAAATTCTTTCTTCAATAAATCATCAAAAAGCCAAAAGTAGAGTTATAGCTCTAGCCTTGAGCAAAAGTTGTTCAGGTACAGCACCCAGGCCCCGAGTTCATACCTCAGGACTCAGCAATAAACAAACAAATAAAGAAAAAGGGAAAGAGAAAAAAGAAAATTGTACATATCCAGGGTCATTTAGATTTGTCTCCCAGCTTTCTAACAGTTCAATGTTTTTATTCTCTTCTTTAAATGGATATTCCATTTTTTTTTTGCTTTAGGTATTTTTTTTTAAATTGTGAAAGTACCATACAGAGGGGTTACAATTACCAGAGCAAGGTAATGAGTACATTTCTTCACGGAAATCTTTAGTAAAAGGCGAAAGATTTATACGATCTGAAGAGAAATCAGAGTATGATGAGTACATTTCTTATCAAGCTTTGTTGCCTCCTCCTTTGTTTCCCCTACCCATTCCTTCCCATCTCCACCCCTCCCCATGCTCCCCCCCACCCCCGCGCCAAAGTTGTAAAGTTCGTTTTTTGACATAACATCTTGTACATCTCATTGTTGCAATGGGTCCACCTGTATCCTTATTTAAACAATTTATTTTTTCCCTTCCCTTCCACAAATTATACCAATATCAAATACAGTGAAAACAGGGGTTATACTGTGGGGGAGGGACATAAAAAGCAACAA